AATAAACTGGGGGCCGACGATTAATCATACAAGTGCGGGAAATGACTCTCTCTGACAGGAAATGACGAAACCATTCAAACACACATTCACAATCCAAAAAAAACATTTCTTCAATATAATAGAATGAATTTTTATAAGACTAAAAGAGTTTGTGCTAGTTTTTTACCTGCATGTCAAAATAATTGCTGTTAGGGACAGATATAGTTTAGTATATTAGTACCAAGGGCTGGGTCGTCTTGTCAAATAATAGCCAGTAAAATATGCTTGGAATTTAAGCCTCATATCACTGCTATATATATCATGCATCAATGAGGAGCGAACAATAACGCGGTTGAAATGAAAATGCAACAAGGAGAAATTATCTCATTGGCTTATAGGAGTTTGATTTGGCTTTTAAACCAATCATTGTAAAGTTTCTTTGTAGGTTWGAAAAAGGTTTATAAACTAATGTCCCACGTGAGTAATTTGCGGTTTGTGATTGGTTAGAGAGTCGGGTAAGCAGCGGTAGGCCGTTATGAGTATGATTCGATGTTTTCTMATATTCTAGGACAAAAAACATGTTAAAATCCCTCCAAAACTACAGTAAATAATCCAWCCAACACGAATGCTACACTATTTRGGGATTCTCARACACCGATAGCGTCTCGGAAGCCTTGTAATGGCCTTTCAAATGCTTACAGCCGTTGTTGTCTTATCAGTTTGTGGGCTGCGGTTGGTTGGTAAGTTTTTAGGTTTTTTAGTTATCTAATGTCAGTAGATAGCAGGGTTYTAGATAATTTATAGCATTCCTCTTAGGATATTTAATAAATCTCTTCAAGAAGATTGCCTTTTTTCGTTCGCGTCTAATAATGTTTCGCTTTAAAACTTAGAGACGCGAGATAAAGGAAATTTGAAGCTCAAGATGTGAGCTGTTATTTTAGACAAAGCTAATTTTCCTTTATTTTTAGCTTTGTTTTGAAGCCAGTATCGCCCTGAAAAAACATTAAATCCTCCTATACAGAAAACATACGGTGATTGTGGTCTATAAAACTAGATACCTATATTCCAAWGTAAATTATCCTAACGGATTACCCTGAATAATAATTCATAAAGAATTGTCTCGCTTCAAAAAAGATTGACYTCGCTCGTAAAACGCAATGCAGACCTACAACTCCTTATTTCTATTTCCTTATCAGCGCGATTCATAATAACGTTTTAGCTATCTAAAATCCTATTTAAACCTTTTCTTTTGATCCAAATAAATACTAATTAAGYAGAAGCATATCAAGTAAAAAAAACTAGTGTAAAAGTAGATGGTTGGCTGATATTATGCATAATGAGAGCTCTCTTGTGTACACGACCAGCGAAGTGAAAAAAAAATTATTGGTGCTAACTGTACAAAGTAAATAGTTTCATTACTTTCTAAAATAGATAATTATTGTTTGTGTTTGATTATCCCAGGCAAAATAGCCCACATGTCTGAAGATATTGGTATAAATAATCTAGTTAGCATCTATTTATGAACAGAGTTTGTGTACTATCAAAGTCAARCTGTGATCATGCAGTCATTAAAAAAAATTAAGCTACCGTATACGTAAACAAAAGAAAAAAGTTGTTAAATGTTTTTTAACTTAATTTTATTTTTTCTCAGCATTGAATTCTCTAGTACTGTATCAAATTTGTATGTGTGGACTCCATCCCGTTGAAACTTAACTTTTAATTAACAGTTTGCGATTTTCAATATGCAAACTTGGCTGTACTGGTTGTTACAGTTTAGTTTCTAACCTGTTTCCAATCGAAAGTGAGRAACTGAGGTACTGAAAAGCTGATTGACAGCTRTCAGAAACMACATTYCAACAGACATGTSCAAAGTTAGGGTGTMCATTGAAGTAAATACCAGATCARGCAYGTACATTATTCTTTTTCTCTACAGAAAGTGCTCCAAGTTGGACGAGTACACCATACAGTAATAAGAAAGTATATGAAATAACTGGTGGGWCAYATACCTTTGTATGGCGGTATAATSAAAATGGCTCMCCGTTGAACCATGGCCAGTGGTCTAAAATTACAATGAGTAATGATGATCCACCCAAAGAGATCCAAAAAGCAATAGGTCAACGCAGCACTAGTGGGTCATCAACTWCAATTGCTCCAGATTTTCAGAGTAGAGTCACTTTCACATCGGGTRWTTCAGAAGCAGGTTTTGAAATCAGACAACTGACGTCTGCCGATAATGCAAAGTWCACCTGCCAGCTAACTTTTGATAATTTTGATGTGCTAGCTGATTCRGCAGAACTKGTTGTTGTAGGTAAGTGTTCAGGCAATGGGACCTTTTTTGAGTGAGAGATGGATTTGAAGGGCATGAGCCATACAGGGTAAAATTTATTAAGGAAAAAGATAGCATGGCTGCATGTTGTGTGTAGTTATAAGCATATAAGTAGAACATGAGAAAAGTGTTGGGAGAAACAAGATGAGTAGCAGAGTACTTCTTAGTCACATAGCACAGACCCTACAACATGGCTATGAATTTGTTGCATCAYTTCCCACTCCTACAGAAACCACTCTAAAAGATACAAATTTAGTAGTTGTTATTTTGGGTATGAATAATGAAATAAAAAAGTGTGTACTCCTGGTGTGTTCACCATAATCACAACCATCAGATTATGGGATCTATAAAATAATGTTATGTCATAAAGTGCAATGCTCAGACTCAGTCACAATTTGACAAGACGTTTCTGAAATTCTTTATTACAGTTCCRCCCATCATTACCAATAAACTCACAGCACCCCAGACCATTAATGAAGGACAGACGTTTAATCTACCTTGTGCTGCAACTGGGAATCCACTGCCAAAAATACGATGGTTAAGAAATGGTATTGAAGTGCAGTACCTTCATGATCATTYTGGTTACAACATCACTGATGCTGGCAAGAAGGATAAAGGGTTGTATCGATGTGAAGCTATAGTCACAGGAGGAAGTATTGTGAGGACTGCTTATTATGAAGTGAACATCATTGTTAGATGTGAGTATGCTATGGACATGGGGTTGCAAACAAAAATWAAGGGTTACTTGGGAGTAAATTGGTATTGGGTGATTAATTTTAAGTGTATTTTRAACTGATGGTATTAATATWATCTGCACAGATAAACCAGAGGTCACTTTCATAACAGGAAATGTGTCTTTTACTGAAAGCCTTRATGTTGAAATCGAATGTACAGCAGTTGGCGAACCTCCTGTAACAAGATACCACTGGTACAAAGGAATTGGAACTTCACCAGGGGATAAAATTTCTGATGGAGGCAAATACATTCTTACTGGCAATAAAATGACGATCAAGACTCTTAATAAACATGACACTAGCTGGTATACTTGTGCTGCAGAGAATGACGTTGGGATAGGACATGGAAAATCGACTTACGTAAAAACATTGTGTAAGTGAAGCAGTAAGAAATTAGATGTAGCTGATTTAATACCAGGCTTATTGTCTTGTTTTATACCTAGTTGGCATGAAATAACAAGTTTCTTTGTCCATGTTAATAATATTATGTCCAAGTGTTTCCTAATCAACTTTCTAACAACTTTATGTRGGATCATATTTAATCATACCTCTAAGAGGCGGCATATTTTCAAGGCCACAGCTTTACATGTATAATTGTACCATTTATTTGTGAAGAGTGAGGTAATGACATGGGCAACATACTTTCTCAAAAACAAAAATGATGATGATTTGTGATTTATATAGCGCCCTTTCTATACTGATTAATCAAAGATGSTTTACATTGAGTTATAAATTCAAGATTGCTTTTTTATGCAACTTACAAACATGAGAGGTTATTAGCATGAGATTTAGGCACTGAGGGTGRCCAGTGCCAGAGTTTTTTTTACATCCTCAGTGGTTCTTTTACGTTCCTCTGATATTGCTTATGATGATGTGTGGAGAGCTGGGACTGCCATTTAAAGTGGTCGTACGAGCCACTTGAAAGTCTAACCATTTGCAGATGTAATTRCAAAAGCAGCACTTTCTCCTCAGTTGTTTTAAAACCCTGAGTGTTGGTCCGGCTGGGACTCAAACCACGAACTCAACAAAAGTCCCATGCTCAAATTGTAGATGTACTGTAAAATACTTGTTTCACATTCATCTCTAACATGAATTACATAGACCTTTCCTGAGTTAGATAAACATGAAGAATTCTGTTCTAGCTTCAGTACAAGCAATTTCAAGAGCTGAATGAAGCATAAGCACAGCTCAACCAGGATCACATGTACTCAATGAAGGACTTTTTCAACTTGAATCCCACCAATTTAAGTGACCCAAAAATTCTTTGCAGAATTATGCTCACTCTTTTTATCAATGTACAAAAAAAACTTCAGCATGCTACAGAAATGCATTCC